ATATCATTATTTTATGTTTATATTATATTTGTATCTTGACAGGTTCTATATCCCATAGGTTGGTTTGACCTTGTATGGATTAACAGAATGCAAATAAATGAATGAATGAATGAATGAATAGGTAAAGAAATTACATAAATAGTCCTACCCACATTTAATCCTCTTATTGATTCTGCTTCTCAGAGTTTCACACTGAGTTGGATAACCTGAACTTTGCAAGTGAATTATAATGTAATGCCTCTTCATTTTTACCTACACATAAAGAAGGCCCATGTGTGTCAGAAAACAATTTCCCATACACTCAATTGAAATATAATTTCTTGAAGATAAAGGCCAGAATGAACTCTTACTCAACGAAGTTCTAATATTCTGAGACAAAGGAAACATGTTTGCAAAGAGGGGAAGAGATGGAGCTCAAGTTCAAAATAAGTTTAATGTGTGTAACCGAACTGTGGTTGACCATGTTATCATTCACTGCAACATGTTTGCTAAGCGGGAAAGAGATGGAACTCGAGCTCAAAGTAGGTTTCTTGTGTGTCATTGAACAGTGGATGACGATGTTATCATTCACTGCACAGTAGTTTCTTTTGCTGCACTGCAACAGCTTGTCACCAGGGATACTTTCTCCAACTTATGAAACATTTTATGATGCTCATGTGACTAGTTGGGACACATATTCTTCCAGTAATTTCATAACTGCACTCTGTCAATTTTCAGGGCTGGTATGGGCAGGACATTATAAGGGGAAAAATGAAGAAGAATTACTTTCCTAATGACTTACTGATGAGACAGTATCTTCATCTTCCTCTCTATGGCCCTCTGCCTGGCTGCTTCAGTCATCAACCTGTTTCTTTGCTTACGCCACCAAGGAATGTAAATTCGTGTGAGACATCTCACAATACTATCTCTACTATTCACTGGTGGTGAAGTGAACAGCCAGAACACCTAATCCACTCGAAGTCATTGGTACTCTTAATGGCAGCTATGATATGCTGCTCCACTGAATTCAAGTGGGTAGCCTCTGTCATTATAGACTCCATCAGAGTTACAGCAGTACCAACAGTCGTCACAAGCTTCTCAGAAGGATATGTGAGAGACTGTTCTGTATCACTGAACTCCGTGAAGTATATGAAGACATTGGTTGATAGCAGCACTTCAGATGTCAGGCATGTCTTGCATGCATCACAGCTGGCACCACGAAGCACCTGTCCGGCAATGGAACCACTGACGTAAGCTACTGAGAACACTTCCATGTCCCCAGCAGGTACTGCAGGACTCATGTCCATCTGTACTTGCTGAGCAACATGGAAACTCTCAGGCACACCAGCAGGGGTTTTCTTGTCATGACTTGTGGAAGGATTTCGTGAAGCAGCTTCAGGTGTCCTGAAAAGCGATTGCAGATTATCCAGAAGAGTAGCACCATCATCCTCACAATTAGTTTGCCCCAGTCCTCTAAATGCAAGGCCATTGATGATGCTAGTCTTCAGGGCATCTACAGACCGTCCCACAGTTGTGTTACTGTTCGAACCACAGCTCAAACGAATAGCTGTACTGAAAACCCACCTCTTTCAGTGTCCTCCACACATGCTGGGCAGCAGTGATGTCAATTAGCCACCCATTCTTTGAAGGAGGAGGATGAAGAAAGGTGGGTTTACCATCCTTGAGGAAGATCCAACTCTTTATCCTCATACTTGCCTTTTTCCAGAGCTCTATATGGGAACTGTTGTCACTGAGTGGGCAACGCAGAGTTTCCCCTAGGCCAACACTTGTTCCACCATTGAAACTATTGAAACTATTGAAGTGGTTGTCAACCTCCTCAACAAACACAGCTGTTGCCATGTATTCGCTGCTGCACCCACCTGAATGGGGGGGGGGGAGCAGATGTTAGTGTGCCTCCTTGTGTTGTGAATTACAGTTTCTTTACATAGGAATATAACACATTACTTTAGAAAGGACTAACGTTATACAAAACTTGTATATTTCATTATATTATTCCTCATATTAAAATCTTTGCCACCTAATTCACCTTATGCTGAAATCTTCCCCTTATACAACCACTTTTCACTCAGGTATCAAATGCAAACACTTCTCACTCCAAAGTCTAATTCACACATGGCATTTTGACATAGGAAATAACAAGATCAAGTGAATCTCTGCTTATTGTACAGGTCAAATGCAGTAGCTACAGTAACATGAGGCTCAGGATTTATGAGTGGGTTAGCATATAACTGCATTGCTTACTTCACAGCAGCTGTTCAATGATTTATTTGGATAAAATAAAAAAGGACTTTCACTATATATACACTCTTGCTTTTATGGTATTGTTAGAAAACGAAATATCTGTATGTCAACTTGATCAGGTAAGTGTGTGGCTTTTCTGCTTCAGCAGTGGAATGATTCACAAGATGTTCTCCCATGATCACACTGCATAATTATAAGCCTAAAGGCATCATCTGCCTACAGGAACCGTAGAAAGCCATCAAATAAACCTCAGGCACTAATGCACACTTTTGGAAGGTAGAAAATTGCGACTATGTGACGTTGATGGATGGCCAGCAATTGACGTATGTGCAGGCACCTGGATTAGAAATTACCAGCATACTGAGGGACAGTCCTGGTGTTGTCAGTCTCATAGCTTTTGTTCAATTCGAGCTCCAAAAATGGGATTTTATGGATAAATTAAATTTAATAAATATATATTTTAGACTA